AGCTCGCTGGCACCGACGCAACCGAAGAGTACGACCCAATTCACCCGCCCGGAATCCTTGAAGAGAACCTGAAGCCCGAACAGCATCTCGGAACCATAAACCCAGATACCCTTCCTGCCGTTGAGAAGTCGCCAGTGGAGACGGGCGAGGCAGAGCAGGCTGGGCCCGTGGATCTGGACAGCATATTGAACATTGATGAGATAGAGGAGGTGGCCACAAAGAATATAAGCAACAAGGCATGGGCATACTATTATTCCGCGGGTGACGACCTGGCGTCGAAGAAGCTGAACAATACGGTATACAGGCAGATTTTGCTGAGGCCGAGGATATTCGTCGACTGCACCAAATGCGACACGTCCACGAGCTTCATCGGACACAAGGTTAAGCTACCCATATACGTATCTCCCGCTGCAATGGCACGATTGGCGCATCCGGACGGCGAGTGGGGCATTGCGCAGGCATGTGAGCAGTATGGCGCCATGCAGGTCATCTCGCAGAACGCCTCCATGACCCCCGAGCAGATCGTCGCAGACGCGAAGGATGGCCAAGTCTTTGGTTGGCAACTGTACATCCAGACCGAAATCGCAAAGAGCGAAGCCATGCTTGCGCGGATGAAGAAGCTGCCCGCAATCAAGTTCATTTGCCTGACGCTCGATGCACCGGTGCCAGGCAAGCGAGAGCACGATGAAAGGTCCAAGAATGTCGGTGCGAACCTCCCCATAAAAGCAGCCGTGCAGGAAGACGCGAGCGTGAGCAAGACGAGCAGCGACGCAAAGACTCCGAGTCCACCGAAGAACATGGGCGTGGGGCAGAGTTTGTTCTGGGGAACGGCGGCAGATCTTACCTGGAAGACTACATTGCCGTGGCTTGCGCAGCACACCGACTTGCCAATTGTGCTGAAGGGTATTCAGACGCATGAAGACGCCTATCTTGCCAGTCTCCACGCACCGCAGGTCAAGGCCATCATTCTGTCAAACCATGGCGGCCGCGCACTCGATACTGCGCCACCGGCTGTACACACGCTGCTCGAGATCCGCAAATACTGCCCTGAAGTCTTTGACAGGATAGAAGTGTGGGTTGACGGCGGAATCAAGAGGGGAACAGATGTCGTAAAGGCACTTTGTCTCGGGGCGAGAGGGGTCGGTGTTGGCCGGGCTGCGCTGTTCGGCTTGGGCGCGGGCGGCAAAGAGGGTGTTGCCAGGGTTCTTGAAAGTGAGTAAACCCTTCGTCTTTGATGCACTGATGCCGGTCGCTTGGTAGACTCGCGGGTGGTACGCTTGCCTTGCGGCACAACAAAGAGCTGCATGACGTGCACTCGTGTCCGCTTTGTATCATTCCACTTCCTTTTGCTTCCTTGCTGACCGCCTACACAGTTCTCAAGGCCGAAACCGAGACTTGCATGCGTTTACTGGGTGTGGAGCGCGTAGACCAGTTGGGGCTGCATCATGTGAGTTCAATCGACTGTCCCTTGTCACTGACCCAGGCGGGTGATACTAACGCCTCCAGATCAATACGCGAGCTGTTGAAAGGGACGTATACGACGGTCCGGCTGCGGTTGAAAAACCGAGCCTGACGTCGCGGCTGATGGCCAAGCTGTAAGGGCCAAGTCAGGACCTGAAAGTAAGCGATGTTTGATGCTCTGGTGTACCAAGATGATAAGGCGTCTGCGTTTTGACCATGTCGGAAAATAAGCCTACACGGATCATGCAGGCAGCAGGTGTTACAAGTACAGTGTACAGTGGCATGTTTTTTGTCCGCGTCAGCTCACGGGTGGGTGTTAATTTTCAGCCTGTAATGGAAACATGATTTAGGCAGCGAATAAGAAGTCGTGAAAGGCTTTGTACAAGAGTGATAGCGCCCCGAAGCTTATCTCAACGGCGCGTACAAAGTATGGTGGCACGGAGGTGAATGAGGCGGGCGGAGGACAGTCGTTTGCGTGGTCCAGGTCGGAAGATTGCGGATGTGTCGCACAAGGGTGGTTTATTTCATACCAGGAGGGCACCTGCCTCATTGGGCAATGCACGATGATATTGATAATGCTATGGCTAGTGACTTCATGGTGTCGATAGCGAGGACCCCTGCGGCGGTGGTCACGCGGACGTTTGCGTCAATATGCAAAACCAGTTTCGGGTGCTGCTGCGTCGTATGGCTGGGCTGAATCCTTTCTTCTCTACACTGCGCCAAGCACCCCAAGCATCAGTAGACGGTAGACTTGCAACGGGCGCAGGATCACCAAGGCCTTGTTCTGCCAAACGCTCCTGCAGCTGCCACTACAGCTGCCACGTGTGTACTTGCCTCATCGGGGAGCACTCGCGCAGGCAGCTTCGCTCGGTTTGTTTCTCACCGGCCGCAACTGGCTCTGGACGATGGCTCGGGACACGGGCGTCGTCGTCGTCGTTGCATCGTTGCGTCGTTGGGTCGTTGGACAGGGCCGAAGCAGGTGCCACGGCAAAGAGGCGGATTGGCAACAACCGACGGCGGTCACGGCAGCAGGCTTCGAGTGACGTTGCGGGCCCGGGGATGGCCGCCCTCGCTAATGGCCAACCGCCAGCGCGCTAGACGACCGAGGCACCCACTCTCCGCTCTCCGCTCTCCACTCTCCACCTGATGGGCCCATCGTCGACACCGCCACCAGCAGGCGCGTTTGCAAGGCGCGGCCCGAGTACCACTGCCATCTCGTTCCTAGATTGCCTCATCGTCTGCCTGTCTCGTGCGGGAATCATGTCCGAAATGCTCAGCATTGGCTCCCTCACCCCAGCGCGACATGAGCCGTGAGAGACAACGGTCCATGCCACGAGCGGTGCGTTTGCTTCTGCTCGTGGCTCGTGGCTCGTGGCTGAGCCCTACCTCTCTCCCAGCGTCCATATCCAACTGTTGAGCCAGGGTTGACATATAAGGCTTTGGACGCTGCCGGCCATCGCTGTTTCCCCAAACCGCACCTCACACCACGGCCGGCCGCTCCTTCCACCCTTCACATCTTCACCTCTTTACCTCTGTGCCTCTTCTGTTTCTGTTGGACTGTTGCACAGCTGCTTCAATCCCTCCAACGCCCACCTCTCCATCAATCCCCTTCCACTCCGCAACTGCTGTCGGCCCTCCACCCAACCAGCCGGACCACTTCCACTACCATGCAGTGTCCTACTTGCCGAGGAAATGGAACCACCAAATGCGACGCCTGCAATGGCAACGGCTGCGGCCAATGCAAGAACACCGGCACGCAGACCTGCCATGTCTGCGAGGGCTCCGGAGACATCAACGCCTGAACCCCTTCCGCTCCATCCGCCGCGCTGTCGAGTACTCACCCTGTACGTCAAACCACAGACAGAGTCGCCGTGCACATCGACTAGGAGAGCAGGGATCCCTAGCTATGTCTTCCTACGCGAGCATGCGGCGTCCCGAATCGGGCAACCCTCGCAGTAATTGCTCGCTCCATCCTTCAATTCCCATATCTTTCCTTCACCAGGTGCCTATTCTTCCGGTCCCAGCTGTGCGGACAGTTCGACCTGCTCTTTTCAACCATGGTCCAACGCGGACAACTGCTTGGCTGCACGCAGGGCCGTTGGTTTCTGCCGAGCAACATTCACGCGCTACGCAAGCTCTGGCATGATTAACGCTGACCAAGACAGGCACGTTTCGAAACATGATCTCCCGGGTTCCCCACGGACCATCGCATCTGACTTTTATCAACACAACACCCCCCACATCCCTTCATAACGGCGGCGCCTGCACGCTGGCACGCTCGCGGCAGATCGTCGAATCATGTGTGGGAGATTTCTCCGTATACTTTCATCTCCGAGCAGGCGCCGAAGCGGGGATTTTACACTCGACATATCTCATTGGCAGGGGTTTTTGTTGCGCTGCAGGTTTGCTGGGAATCGCAGGGTTTGCGTGGACGGGGGGCATTTCGCAAGTCATCCTGGAGTCGGCGTTGGCGTGAGTGATCTGCTATAATGTGGACCGATCGGGGTAGGGGTTTTGTGTCTGCCTGACTCGTGCACCAACTTCATCAAACAGCGATTGCGACTCTTTCTTTCTTTGTTGAGGAGGATCGTCTGCTTGGGATGGTATTATCGTCATTTGACTGGCATGGTTAGCATAGCGATGGAGGACAGGTCTTGTGTGTGTCCGACTGCAATTTACCCGCGTTCTGTGTATCCTGTCGTCTTGATGTCCGTCCGTCTGTCTGTCAAGTTTCATGCCACACCACCGCATCGGGCGTCCCTTCCACACCCAGGGTTCCCCTCTCCTGTCACCGACGCCTCTCCATCCGTGAATCTAAACGCACTCGCGCCAGCACCAGCCACGCCAAGCCACACGCGCACACGTCAAACCCGCACATCCCATCCCCGCCCAGCTAGCTAGCTAATCCGCGTCTGCGCATGTCTCACCCGGCTCCGCGTATATATATAATACATCCACGCGTCGTACGCCAGGCGCCTCAGGCATGCCACGCCATGCCACGCCCTGAGGCATCGTCTTGTTTCACACGCCTGTCTCGCGGTGTAGGGGGATCGCTGCGCATGTGCGCGGCTGCGTGGTCTGGGATATGTGGTTTGGCTGGTGGGGGCTGGGTGTGGAACGAGATGGGTGTTGAGATCGGCGGGTGTGCCGAGGGTGTGGACATGGGTGGGAAGTTGGTGATGGAAGAGAAGGGAAGGGGGTGGGAAGAGAAGACGCTAGTAGGGCGACAGGCGCAGAGAAGACTGGTTTGGTTGTTGCTGGTTGCGGGTGGGTGGTGGATGTGTATGTGCAAGAGCTGCAGCCTTTGCGAGGAGGAAGAAATCGCCGATGCCCTCCCTCGGGCACGGCGCGTCCGTCTACGGTACAGTATACATATAAACGCGTCTTCCTCGCACAGCTTTCGTTCGTTGCACAGTGGACGTCCATCACTGTCCTATCCCCTTCCTACCGGAGGGAGCTCCATGCTTGCCTCCCTTGGTCGTAGCCAAACCGCCCTCCCTCCCAAGCAGACACCCACCAACAGACGCAAAAAAGACAACCACCGCATCTGGGGTTCGAACCCAGGTCTTCTGAGCGTTCCCACGGCCTCGTGAAAATCAGACATCCTAACCTCTGGACTAATGCGGTCTGCAGCCGTTGTTGGTTCGATGGGAAAGTCCGCTGCCCAAGGGTATATATACCATACCACACCATAGCGTGATGTGAAGATGTATGTGTGGATGAGAGGTGAGTAAGTAAGTAAGTGAGTAAGTAAGTGAGTAAGTGACTGAGAAGCCGCGCGCGTGCAGTTATCAGGCAAACATGTGAGAGGTGGGTTTTTGTCTTGGAGGGGAGGGATGGCGGTGAGTTGCAGGTTGTGTAACGGGGGAGCGGGAGGGAGCAGATGAGGGATTGGGAGGGGGGATGGGCTTGAGCTGGGTTTATGGGGGGGTATTGTCGCGGTTACCCCTACCGTCGAGTGGCTATGTGGGTTCCTAAAGTTATAGTGCTTCGCAGTAAGGAATGGGGGGGTTGAAGTATTCCGCTGCGTTTGGGAACATTGAGATTCACTGCATACATAATCGCTCTTACTTTCGGTATGGAGGTGGGTTCTTGTTCCTGACAGCCTCGCGGTATCAGTATTGGTGGGATCTATAGGTGTGTGGGCAGGGTGACACTGGGATAGGCTTCATGGGGGCTGCACGTAAATTCACTGTAAGCTCTCGGGTTGGGTATCATGCTGTTCGTATTACTGTTTACCATCCACCGCATCATCATATGATGAGCATTACCATCCCTCCACAGACACCGGCTCCAAATCCGGGTCGTTTTCATCCCCCCAATCCATCTTCTCCAACTCCCTCCTGAAAAAGTCTTGCTCATCCTCCAGCACGCCGCTCCTCGCGCCCATTCCCTCAGGGTACCTCTTCAGATTGTGCCAATGCGTCAACGCCCTCAGCGCTTGCTCCAAAGGCACGCTCTCGTCAACCTCGGCATCCACGTCACTGCCTGCGAGCCAGTCGTCTCTAAGCTCCGGTCTGCAATGCAGATACACCGCTGTGATGACACGCATGTTGGACTGGCGCCACTTCCGTCCACAATACGGGACCTGGTTCTTGAACAGCTTAAGAGTGTAGAGGCGGAGCTGTGGCTGTGGCACCTTGAGGCTCTTTCTGAGAAATTGAGAAGATTTGTAGGAGACGAGCATGAGGTTGCGGTGTGCTTTGTTTTTGCAGATCTTCTGCATGATGCGAAGGTAGTTGATGGATGTGAAGAAGGCGCGCCAAGAGAATGTGGTGATAGGCTCTTTGGGGAGCTCGCTAGTCGGGAAGCCTAGCTCGTCGACTTCTGGTGCCTGAGGCATGGCTGGGAGTGGTGAGGGGGGCTCTGCTTCGGGTTCTGAGCTCTCGGGGTCGTCACGACGCATTCGAATTGGAGGTGGCACCGCATCGTCCGAATCCGAGTCGGCTTCGGGCTTTTCTTCTGTTTGCTCTTGATCGACACCCAACCGGGAATGGGACCGGCAGAAATAGAAGAAACTATTGTTTATGATTAGGGCGAAAACCTTTACATAGAACAGATCGCTTACTTTAGCTCTTCCTGCTCGCACTTGAAATTGACAACCTTTTCGATTTCTTGGAGTTGCAAAAGCTTGAGGATGAGCGGAACGTAGCTGGAGTCCACCAGAAGTTGGGTTATGTACTCATATTTCAAGATATCTAGAGGCAATGTTTAGTAGAGCACATTGAATGATGATCTGAGCGGCTTACGAGAAATCTTGAACCATTTGAGGATCAACATCAGGGTACCTGAGACCGCTTTGTCGAGCACTTCTTGTGTGCGCATTGCATCCAGCTCTTCGTTTGTAGCTACACATCCGGTATGGCCATTAACACCGTTGGCCTCGGGTCTACCATTTTGATTGTCCTGGTACTGGAACCCACTCTGAAGACCGTTGGCCCCATTTGCCTGGGTGACAAGGGCTGTGACATGCGACAGTATTGCCTTGATGAGCACTATTATCACTGATTGAAGGCTAGGTAAAGCTTTTCGCTGTATAGCCATTAGATGGAATCTTCGAGAGACTGCATGGTACTTACGTAGAATTCCTCTACCAGATCTAAGCGTTCTTCGATACTTCCCGAAGGCGGCGGCTCCTTTTTGGGAATGCCCTCCTTTGGTTCCAGTGAAAGCTCATCGATGTCGGTGTTGTCGTCTGCACCCGACCATCCTCGCTCGTACTTCATGAACTGCACACGTTCTTCCCATAACTGTTTCATAGCTCGTGTGGCCCGCATGCGCTTCGCGTAAAGATCGGCAGCCTCCAAGATCGAAGTAGGAATATCGGGGCCCTCCCATTTGCGCCCTACAAGCAGGTCTTGTAAGTCAGTCGAACCTTTTCCACCAAGCTTGTTGCTGGTCTCATCGAGAGGTGGATATAGGAATGGGAACATCTGATTGGTCTGGTAGTTCTGTTTCTTCCCACCCTTTCCGCCCGGGCCTGCTGGTGATGGAGGAGGGGATGGCGCCGGAGTTGCAATGTGAACAGGCTGATACAGTATAGATGTATTGTTACCACTCATGTCTCCAAGCCCTGACCCGAATACGTGATTACCGGCGACTTTGTTCGGGTGGTTCTTCAGTGGCGGTAGGATCGAATTGTTCTCTGGCTCCAACGGGAATATCGGAGGCGGAGGGTTATAGGCAGGGTATTTGGAGAGTATTTCTTGGCGAAACAAGTGATAGTCTAACGGTGATGCTGTAATTATGGGCTGGCCCTTCGCATCTGCAGATTTTAAGTATTTGTCCTTGAAGCTGTTCCTGGCATTCTCAGCCTCTGAGAGCCCCCCGAAAGACACGAGGACGGTCTTCCACAGGAGCAGGCATATCTTTGGTAGCGGAAGACCGATGGTGTCATCCCACCGCAGCTTCGAGATGATCTCGATAAGCAGCATCAGGAGCCCAGGCTCTTCAAGCGCTAGAAGAGCAGCTCTGATCGTAGTGTCGTTGTTTTCTCTCTCTTCCACGCGAGCAACTTCCAAGATAACATATACGGCCGTCATACTGCACCATGTCTCACGGCGGTCAGAGTCTTTGTTATCGCGCAGACCAGTGGGCTCTGTATCGATGCCACAAGCCTGTGAACACGCAGAGCTGAGCTGGCGTATGACAATATCAAGCCCATCGAGGTCGACCAAGAGTTGCACATTCTTTCGAATCAACTGGACATGCTGTGCAGACTTGGCGTAAGTGCCGGGCGCATGCCCGTCTCTTGGTAGTGGGATTTGCGACGGCTCGTTGCTGCCCTCGGTGTCTGCCGAACCAAGGCCAGCACTTTCATGCCAACAACCAAGCAGGATGTACACCAATGCCTCAAGCTTCTTCAGCCTCGGAACGGGGTCCCTTCGCCTGATGACATCCAGCAGGTATTGTACGAATTCACTCTGCTGCTGTTTCGTAGCTTTCGCCCAGTCCAGCCCTCCTTCTTCGTATGGTGTGCCGTTCAGCCCGTTGAAGGTGCCCCACTCCTGTGCAAAGGACGTCTGCGCTTTTAACAGCATCGCCTGCTCTTCGACGCTGTATGAGAACCATTCTTCAAGCTCGTCTTCGAAAGACGACGCATCTTCGTAGGAGAAAGCATATGGTGCCGGGTCTACTTTGGGCAGTTCGCTCACTAGACTCCGCAGCGGTATGAGCGATATCGGATCGGCCGTCTGTGTAGCATCTGGCGGCGGGGCTGGAGGTGCGGGGGGCGGAAGATACAAAGGCGCGGGTAACGGGACGGAGTTATCTCGACGAAGCCCTGGACGTGCGGGCAGTGGTGCGCTGGGCCCATCGGGCAGGGCTGGTGGGTTTGCGCTGGAATCGAACACGAGACCTTGTTGTTCGGCGGTGTCGAGAGGAAGGTTCAGGTCTTCGAGAGGCTCTGCCTCGATAACTGGCGTCTGCGTGCCAGACAAGCCCAGTAGCTCAGCCTCGTCGATGACTGGGGGCACGAGCGGCGCATCGGGAGCGTCGTTGCTGTCCATTGTGGCTCGTGTGAATGTTTCGGCGGTCGTAGGCAGATTTCACCGTAGCCACCATTTTCAGGCGACAAATTCAGGGTCGGTCCATTCCAGTATCTGAACAAGCGCACGTTTGCTTGATGCAGTGAAGAAGCGGTCGAGGCAATCTCCAAGCGGAGGTGGGATGCTCTCCGCACGTGCCTTCCGCCAATCAACTAATGGTGCCTTGAGGAGACGTCAGGGTCCAGTCTAGCCGAACAGTGAGGCTCAAGTTCACCATGCACAGAAACGCCGCCTTCGCAGCGGACGACATTGCTTGCCGACTGGTCCAGTAAAGTCCCGCTTGAGACTTAGTTGCCTGCTCATAAAAAGACGTTATGTAAAGATGCGCTGTGACCCGCAATATGCAAAAACACGAAGGCACTGCTGGTCTGTCGATGTGCAGTTGTATCACTTACGATCACTGCTTGGATACGATATAGATGTATTGTCGTAAAACTAGTCGTCATCGAAGCAGCTATAGCACCCCGAAATATGTGCATCAAGAAAAAAAAGAAAGGATAAACTCCATCTTACTAAAAAAAAAAAAGTAGTCGTCCGCATGTTTCACGCGGATGTGTACCGATGGCACATAAATGAACAACATCGCACTCGTGGAAATGAGCGTCAACTGATGGATGACCTGAAAACTCCGTCTGAAAGCAGCCATTCGCGTCGCGACCAGCCTCAAAGGATTTGAGAAAGAGGTAGCACAGCCTAAATATGTTTTGCGCACAGTATGAAGCCACCGGAACTACTCATTACCACCTGCCCGGCTTTACGTGGGAGCACCCGCGAGGCAAATCGGGGGCAAGAGAACAAGACGAGCCGAGTCGATCAACCTCAGCTTGAACCGTTCTGTTCAGCATTGTTCTCCCGGTCCTTGATCTCATCGGGGACAATTCCAGCATTCTCGCAAGCGCGTTTGTAGATTGCGCACTCATCCCAGGCTCGCTGACACTCGCCCTTGAATTTGTCGCAGCTGGTGCTGAGCTCCGTAATGGCTTGTTCGGTCAGGAGCTTTTCTAGTGTCCATTTCTCGATGTTTTGTTGCTCATTCTCCTTAAGCTGAGTGATGAATTGAACAGCGCGTTGCAGGATAGA